CCCCCCTCTTTTTTTTGTTGCCAGTAGAGTGGTTTGGGTTCTTGAATGCTCATTTTTCATACCTTTATGTGTAAACTTATTACTAGCCAATGGGGGGCAGGGGGCAGTTTGTGTGCGAGATTTCACTTTGTTGTGTGGGACTGGGACGCACAGGGTCTAAATACCCACAGCATTTCAAGACAGTGGAGTAACTAAAACCACACATTATCAGAGGCCTCAGGGGTCGGGGGAAGGTGTAATCTGCTGGGCAAATAATGCAGTTCTGTGGATCAAAAGTGTAGGATTTGGAGTCTGAAAATCTGTCTTCAAGTTTTGTCTCTGCCTCTTACTAGCTTTGCAGTGTTGACTGTGACCCAGCCCTCTGAGTCTGGGTTTCCTGTCTGAGCAATGGGATAATTGGATTAGATGCCCTCTCTCTGTAATAGTTCTTGACTCTGTAGTACTGCGCCAGGACTTTTGTCACTGCCCAGGGGTCTGATATATTTGACGCGGCACAATTTTGTTGTGTTACAGGTTCAGCTTGTTGGTTTAGATGAAGAGAGTTCAGAGTTTATCTGCCGAAACACCTTTGACCATCCGTACCCCACCACAAAGCTCATGTGGATCCCTGATACAAAAGGCGTCTATCCAGACCTACTGGCGACAAGTGGCGACTATCTCCGTGTGTGGAGGGTAAGCAGGTGCTCGTGTCAGCTATTATTAGCATGGAGTCACGGAGAACAGGCCGGGGGTTGGAGGCAGTGAGTGTCATTGCAGTTCGGGAGAAACAAATGCTAGCCTATCTGAAATGACCTTGTTTGGCTCAGCAGATTTCCTAGTAAACCTCGCCAAGATTCCTGGAAGTCCCTGCTGCTGGCTACAGCCAGCCCTGGAAATCCAGGGCTCAGCTAACCTGACATAACCTTCTGTAGGGGTGGAGATACTTGAGGCTTCTTGTTCTGTTTACAACCAAGATACTTTTGAATAAACTAAACAGACTACTGGGCCAATGATTCTAGTAAAGTATGTGTGTGGATTATGGAGCTTTACCTCCCCTCTTGGCTGTACTCATCAGCAATGGTGTTTCCTGGCCTGGAGGTGTAGTGCCCAGCCAGGCAAGGTGAGAAGACCTCTCCTTTAGAAAAATTTGGGAAACAAAGCTAGACGGAGGAGAAAGCTTATAAAGAAGTAGCAATCAGAGAGTTCCTCTGGGTTTTATTACTTTTTATGATAAAAATGGTCCGTCCGTGTGTGTCCCGCCCCCTCTCCCCCCATCTTAAATGTACTTAGATATTGTCTAAATGGGGCTTAAAAGATTTTTTTAAAGATGAGACTGGCTGATTTTTTTAATTGTTCTTTTAGGTTGGTGAGACGGAGACCAGGCTGGAATGTTTGCTAAACAATAACAAGAACTCAGATTTCTGTGCTCCTCTGACCTCCTTTGACTGGAATGAGGTCGATCCTTATCTTTTAGGTAAGGGGCGGGGAGGGAGTGCGGAGTCCAGTTTGAAGAACCAAAGATACATTTTCGCAGATTTAACCAGGGGCCTGAGGTATAGGCATCATCCTAGAATGGGGCCCAGTGGGAAAGAGACTAGATTTGGAATGTGGTTATTAATTCCTCATATGGAATCAAGCTTCCCGTGTGTATATGGTTTGTCTCCAGTCAGAGTCTAAGGTCTTAGGGTAAGGATTGGGCACTTGACTCTGGGACTCTCCTGGTACCCTCCCTATGCTAGGAAGTGTTTGTGGCACGAGGTCTCTTCTGCTGAACAGGTGAGTAGGCACAAAGAGAGAAGCTTGCCTGGGAACCTCACTTCTGTCAGCCACTGACATGCACTGGTTGTTTCCAGGTACCTCCAGCATTGATACAACTTGTACCATCTGGGGGCTGGAGACGGGGCAGGTGTTGGGGCGAGTGAATCTTGTGTCTGGCCATGTGAAGACCCAACTGATTGCCCATGATAAAGAGGTAATGATGCCTTTCCCTCTCTGCTTTCTGTGTGGTCAGACTGTCTGCTCACTGTTTTGCAAATGATGTGGAAAATCATAATGCTAACATTGTGTCTAAATTGAAAATAGTAATGTGTCAAAACAGTAATGTGTCAACACTATTGTAAAGGAGTGCATTTTTTGATTGATATAAACAACTTGCTCTATAGTCATTTTTCCTTTCATGCCAGAGATTGCTGGGGTTTTTTGTTTTTTGTTTTTTGTTTTTGGAAATGCCAGATGGCAGAATTTTATAGTTTTATTAACACAAATACAATGTGTACACAATCTGTCTATTCATTTTCTTTGCTGCGCAGCCTGGCATTGGGATTGGTGACTGTGATGGCCAGCTGGGCTGCTCTTTCCACAATGGCTTTGCGGTTCTTTGAGGAGATGTTGTGAGCAATCTCAGCACAGTAAGATTTGTTGCACATCAGCACCACTTCAAGTTCCTTGACGTTGTGGACCAGAAACTTCCGAAAGCCACTGGGCAGCATGTGCTTTGTTTTCTTGTTGCTCCCATAACCAATACTGGGCATCAAGATCTGGCCCTTGAATCTTCTGCGCACCTTATTGTCAATGCCTCTGGGTTTCCACCAGTTTCGCTTAATTTTGACAGATCGGTCTGACTGGTGCTAGATGAACTCGGTCCTCTTTCTGACAATCTTGGGTTTCACAAGGGGTCTTAGGGCAGCCATGGTGCGGAATAGGAGATGGCTGCCACCTCCATAGGCAGCTCTGAGGAAGAGAGCGAGATTGCTGTTTTTTTAACAATGAACTCTCTATAGATAAACTTGGACCTGATGTGATTAAAAATTAATCTTATAGTAACACTTACCTTGAAATATATTTGCTTTTTGGGGAGAGAGATGGTGGGAGGGAGGCAGGAAGAGGGAAATTTCCTGGCAGTCAAACCAAATTCATCAATAATTCTGTAAACTGGTTTTATGAAATTCTAGTACTGTATGTTCACTTAATACTTAAAACTGTTTGGTATTGAATATGGTTTATCTTGTATCGTGGTAGAAGACAGCCACTGGCTCTGGCTGCGCTGAGCCTGTCTAAGCACACAGAATGCTCACTCAGGATTACTTGTGCTCTGTTGGTCAGAGGGGTATGTGCTCTTTGTTTTATCACAGGGGTTGGAGGAAGAAGACTTGGAAAGCAGGGATGTAGGAAGAAGCCAGCTAATTTCTATAGCAGAATGATCTTCACCCTTTGGAAAGTCACTGATGTTAGAGCTCTTGGGCTCCCGACTTGCAGACACTGGTTTTATTTAACTCCTTCAGTGTCATGAACAGGGGTTTAGATGAACTAGGGACAGCAGATTTCCCTGCTATGGGAAAAGGAAGTAATGGATCAGAATCTGACTGAAGTGTCTTACTCACCAATAGGTCTATGACATTGCATTTAGCCGGGCTGGTGGTGGCCGGGACATGTTTGCCTCTGTGGGCGCTGATGGCTCCGTGCGGATGTTTGACCTCCGCCATCTAGAACACAGCACCATCATTTATGAAGACCCACAGCATCACCCGCTGCTTCGCCTCTGCTGGAACAAGCAGGACCCTAACTACCTGGCCACCATGGCCATGGATGGTATGGAGGTGAGCACCCTGCTTCAGGCTAGCATAGGCCCAGCCACCTAACTCTGGTGCTACTTAGTATATCTAGAGCAGTGTTCTCAACTGGTGTTAGTTTTCTCCCAGTGAATTTTTGAAAATGTCTGGAGACAGCGTTGATTAACCCAGCTCAGGGGGAGGGGGATAGTGCTACTGGCATCTAGTGGGTAGAGGCCAGGGATGCTGCTAAACCTCCTACAGTGCACAGGATGAAGAATTATCTGACCCAAAATGTCAAGAGTGGTGAGATTGAGAAAACCTGATCCAGAACAAGCACAATGTGTTAAGAACTTTTAATACTTGAAGAGTTGGAATTGGTATCAGGAAAAGCAATACCGCCCAGCCGGGCGTGGCTCAGCGGTTGAGCATCAACCTATGATCCAGGAGATTGAGGTTTGATTCCTGGTCAGGGCACATGCCCAGGTTGTGGGCTCGATCCCCAGTGGAGGGAGTGCAGGAGGAGCCAATTAGTGACTCTCATCATTGATGTTTCTCCCTCTCCCTTCCTCTCTCTGAAATCAAAAAAGACATATTAAAAGAAAAAAGAAAAGCAATATCTAAAAAGTAAACCAAATTGTACGTGCTTATGGTGCTGAGTAGAGAAGCAGGCAGTTTCCCCCTTCTGTAGTCAGGACAGATTCTTCCAGTTTTAGAAAACAGACATGGAAATAGCAACACTCTGTAGGCTATTACTTGATAGAAGCAGTAAATTGTGGGTAGAGATGATGCAGTTATTAACTGTGTTTTGGTGAAGCCAGCACCTCAGATTCCTTACATTCCAAATTCTACTTTGGGGGCAGAGGGTGCTGTTGCCATCCTGCTGAGCATGCACAGAATCTTAGCACACACACCTAAGGGGCCTTGGTGCGTTATCCAAATGCATGTTACCTATTCCTGCATCTCTCCTTCCGTATCAGTCTAAAGACCCTGTGTTGCTTTAGATACAGACTATAAATTACCTGTGTCTTCTTTTGTTTTCTTTTTCCTCAATCCAGTAGCTACTTTGGGGACAGAGACCCTCTGTATTTAGTAATCTTTAAATCCACAAATGAAAAAGTTATGCTTAAAAAAATTTTTTTCTCTCTTGTATAGTGTCTTTTGTTTTTGTTTTTTCTGTCACACTCTGAAGTTCCTGGGCCTTTTCCTTGTTATTTCTGCAGGTAGTGATTCTGGATGTCCGAGTTCCGTGCACACCTGTCGCAAGGTTAAACAACCACCGAGCATGCGTCAATGGCATTGCTTGGGCCCCACATTCATCCTGCCACATCTGCACTGCAGGTAATCAGGGTGGGGGAAGGGCAGCATGGGGAGGGAGAGGTAAGGAGATCGCATCCCACCATCCTTTCCTGGTGCCTGCTCATCTAAGATGAGAGATGCCCACCAGGTCCCATTCTATCGTCCTAGCTCTGATGCAGTGAACNAAAAGACATATTAAAAGAAAAAAGAAAAGCAATATCTAAAAAGTAAACCAAATTGTACGTGCTTATGGTGCTGAGTAGAGAAGCAGGCAGTTTCCCCCTTCTGTAGTCAGGACAGATTCTTCCAGTTTTAGAAAACAGACATGGAAATAGCAACACTCTGTAGGCTATTACTTGATAGAAGCAGTAAATTGTGGGTAGAGATGATGCAGTTATTAACTGTGTTTTGGTGAAGCCAGCACCTCAGATTCCTTACATTCCAAATTCTACTTTGGGGGCAGAGGGTGCTGTTGCCATCCTGCTGAGCATGCACAGAATCTTAGCACACACACCTAAGGGGCCTTGGTGCGTTATCCAAATGCATGTTACCTATTCCTGCATCTCTCCTTCCGTATCAGTCTAAAGACCCTGTGTTGCTTTAGATACAGACTATAAATTACCTGTGTCTTCTTTTGTTTTCTTTTTCCTCAATCCAGTAGCTACTTTGGGGACAGAGACCCTCTGTATTTAGTAATCTTTAAATCCACAAATGAAAAAGTTATGCTTAAAAAAATTTTTTTCTCTCTTGTATAGTGTCTTTTGTTTTTGTTTTTTCTGTCACACTCTGAAGTTCCTGGGCCTTTTCCTTGTTATTTCTGCAGGTAGTGATTCTGGATGTCCGAGTTCCGTGCACACCTGTCGCAAGGTTAAACAACCACCGAGCATGCGTCAATGGCATTGCTTGGGCCCCACATTCATCCTGCCACATCTGCACTGCAGGTAATCAGGGTGGGGGAAGGGCAGCATGGGGAGGGAGAGGTAAGGAGATCGCATCCCACCATCCTTTCCTGGTGCCTGCTCATCTAAGATGAGAGATGCCCACCAGGTCCCATTCTATCGTCCTAGCTCTGATGCAGTGAACAAAGCCCTGGGACAGTCAGAGACTCGCTTTGAGTCCTGGTTCTGTGGTTTGGGGCAAGTCCCTTAACATTTCTGAATCTCAATTTCCTCACCTATAAAAGGGGGGGCTTACAGTAAAATCTTCCTCACTGGTGTTTCAGTGAGCAGATGTTTTGTAAACTGTGACCACCAGCACCACCAAATGCAAGGATCATTACCCTTTTTGCCTGAGTTGTGACCTTGCTTTCTGGCTTTCTCTGTCCCTAGCGGATGACCATCAGGCTCTCATCTGGGACATCCAGCAAATGCCACGGGCTATCGAGGACCCTATCCTGGCCTACACAGCCGAGGGAGAGATCAACAACGTGCAGTGGGCATCGACTCAGCCCGACTGGATTGCCATCTGCTACAACAACTGCCTGGAGATACTCAGAGTGTAGTGTTGGAGGTGCCATGCCCACGAGGCAAGGGCTTACGTGTTTCCCGCCTCTGCCCCACCCCAAAGTAAGAAGAAACATGTTTCCAGTGGTCCGTGTGTCTTTCATTGCTTTGCACCCACTGTTACCAGAAGTTGCTCTAGGAGTTCTTGGCCAGTTACCCCATTGCTCTCTGTGCCAGACTCAGTACTGTGTGGCGCCTCTCAGCCCAGGGCTGAGTTTTAAGATTTTCTCTCTTTTCCTCTTCTTCTTTAGTTCCTCAATTAAAAGTTTCTGTATATTTGTTTGTCAGCCTTTGTGTTAATGAGCATTACAGGCACTGGCTGTGTTTGTGTTCATCTGCCCCCAATGTCTCTGTCTGTTGCCCAAGGCAGCAATCTGTATCCATGTCCGTGTTAGCACTTAAGTGGGAACAAATACCGATTTGAAGTTGTCTTTCCTCTTACTATCAATGTCTGTAACAAATTTCAACTTTGTATATTTTTTATCTATCAGGCTAATTTTTTTATGAAAAGAATTTTACTCCCTGGCTTCTTCCTTTGTTTCATAGTCCTCCCTGTTAGCAATTTCCTCTCCTCCCTCAGTGCCTGGACCTGGCACTAGGCCCTTGGCCCTATGAGCAGTTTGCCTTCTTGCATCACTGCCTGAGCAGAACAGACCTGACAGGGAGTCCCAAACCACCTTGGTGCTCTGAAGTCAGCCAGCTCTCACACCTTTTTTCAGTCTGGCTCTTCTCAAGGGTATTCTGGGCTCCAAAACAGATGTCTGAAGCCTTCTGTTACTCCCTGAAGTACCTCTGTCCTACCCCACTGGGACCTATTGTGAATGTGCTAGAGCAGAGATAGGCCGATTAGGGTGCCTGACTTGAGGGGGGAGTAGTTTCAGGAAAGCTGAGCATAGAGCATATTTCCAGTACATAGTTTCAGAGTCTGTGTTTCCTCCAAATAAAAGCCCCAGGCCATTCTCTTTCATGTCTTGAACGATAGGCAACAATGATCAGTAAGCTGAACTTCAGCATCTCTGTTTGCGTAGTTAACTGTGACGGGTGGTATACCAGCCACTCTTTGAATTGAGTGCTCTGAGGTGAGAGACTCCGCTTGAGAGGCACACAATCTGCTTCTAACCCTGAACAAGATCTTTAGAGTGTGGGAGGGTGTCAGCTCTTGTAAGGGAGGGACTGAGAGCCATCATGATTTTAGGCCATCAAATAAATGGCTACAAAAAGAATCAGAGACCCCAGGGTCAGCCAGTTAAGAGCTCTACACACACCTGTCAAGCACCCCACCTCCAGTTTGGGTTCTGAGCAGTATTGGACTTAGAGGCTGCAGGGGTCTATTTCCGTTATGTGAATGAGTTCCATGGAGGGGGCTTGTGTGTGACTGTTGGTAGGCTGAGTTTAGGACACACTCAGAGTCTGGGCGGGAGTCTGCCCGGTGCATTGTGCTGTGCCAAGTGGCTGAAGGTTTCTGAGACCCTGAGAGTAGCAGACCTTAAAGCTAATGGTTTTGTCCACTTAGGCTCTCACCTGCTCTTGAGAAACAATAGTTAGCTTTGTTTTTCTGAGCGCTTTGAGCTCTTTGGTTGTCTTCCTTTTCAGAAACGTGTATTTGTATCCCCAGAGCTCTTTGCTTTACTACATAGGAGCTTGTCCCAAAGTAAAAGGCTCTTTTGTAGGGCTATTTTCCTTTCTACCTTTTTATATTTTTATTCTGGTTGGGGCTCTTTTACTGGTCATCTGCTTGAGGCTGACTCTCCTGCATTTACCACCAGATTTGCAGTGTGTTATTTGGAGATGTAAGGTGAGCAGTTCTTGGTCAGAACTCTCCTCTGCTTATAATTGTGTTTGATGATTCCAGGGTCCTTCTCTCAAGGGTAGCAAGCCTAAATCTATGGTTGTTTGCTCTAGGAGGCAGTCCGTTCCTTCCTGTGGAAAATTGTTTGAAATGAAGGTCAGAATGGTAGAGGGAGCTGCTCCTACTGAGGCAGGGCTTAACTATACTGAGTTCTGATTTAAGATTGCTTTCCTGGTCTGCACTTAAACCTGGTCTGAATGGTGAGATTTGTAAACTAGAACTGAAAAACAACCTGGAGAGAAAAAATTAGTTAATGGTAATTAGAATATATTTGGGTAAAGTTGCTCTTTATTCTGGAAAGCTACAACTTTTGATTTTTTTCCCCTTGCCCAGTGTACTCCCAGCCCTATCACTGACTGTCCTTAGGCCTCACAGTGCAGTCCTCCTTCTGGCATCCCACCTGGGGCCCGGGTGAGACTCCCAGTCTCCCTGAGCAAACACACACTCACAGTTGCTGGGGTGCTGGTATTTGGAAGTCCCAGTTCTTACCCTCTCTTTATGCCACAGGCCAAATGACCTCATGGCTGAGGAGGGGATTTCTGTAGTCTTGAGATTTAGAAAGCCTCTTAGCCAGCCATGTTCCAGGAAGCAGATATCTGTTGTAGTTTCAAGAGCAAGTGTCTGTTTAGTTTGTTTAGGTTTTCAAATTGACACCCAGAGAGCATGGATGGGAGGCTCTGGATCTGCTCTCCTTGAGTCTGAGAAGAGCAGCCGCCAGGACTTCACTGGGAAGGTCACGGGGCACCTCTACACTCTTGCTCTGGTGGCCCTTTGACTTGTTCTTGGCCCCTGAGCTGAAGCTACCTTTGTTTTTCTTGTTTGTGCTGAGCAGACGGGGAGGAAGGTGCTGAATAAATTAGGCCTCAGGCTTCTCATCAGAGAGCTGGTGAATGGGTACAAATCCTTCAAGAGGTTAAGTGTTTACACTCAGGAGAGTTGGAACCCTCTCCTTCCAGGGAGGAATTGGGCAACAGATGAGGACTTGAAGAGGGAAGATATTTGATAACTAGGTGAGAATTTCTTATCAGAACCAGGATTGGCTCTCAGAGAACTGGTTAAGATTTGGGAAGAAACAGAAAAAATGAGATTTTTACAAGGTTTTGATAATAGTTGTGGCTGAAATTTTAGAAGACGATTTAGGATGTGGGAGAAAATCAATGGCAAATGCTGCTTTAGGTCAAAGGAGAAAGTATTAGAGGGCAGTAATGTCTGCTGTGTGGCGGAGAGAGACTGTGTCAGGGATTATTCATCCGGTACCTGTGATGCTGGGTAACTGTGGGGACAGGATGACAGCTCAGGGCAGAGGATCCCCTCCCTGCAGCAGCGCAGTCATACATGATGTTTGCTGGTAGAAATCCTCAGGTCTTGGGAGTCCTGTGACCATTCCAGACCATGGCTCTTCTTGGTTGTAGGTTTGTGGAGAGCTGAAGAAGCAGAGGTTGTGAACAGTCATGCTGACTTTCCCTACCCCTCCCTTTCTCTTCCTCCTCCCTTCCCACTTTCTATCCCCTGTAGAACTTTCTCCCTGCTGCAACCTGGGCCTTGACTTCCTAGACTGTAAGAATATGTAGGAGCTACAAGGTTTTCCAAACATGGGAGGGCCAGCCCAGTACCATCTCTCCACCTTCCCAGTTTGAGAATATGGCAGTTCCTTCAACTGCCTGGCTTGGGGTAAGGGAGACCATTGAAGTAGAAACCTCAAAGCAGACTCTCCCCTTTACTCTCTACACTCCAGGATGAGGAAGGAGGGCCATGCTTGGCACTTCAGTTGGGTTTTCCCTGAGAGGAAAGCTGAACTGAGCAGTCACTGTGAACCTGGGGCCAGGCTCTCTAAGAACTATCTTTTCTGTACTGGCTGAACCAGCGATTGAGACAGTCATGCTGCAGAGCCTTGCCCACCTCCCCCATCTGTACCCTCTTCTCCCACAGTTGTCATTGCTGCTAAAGGTCAAAGGCAAATGTATGGGTCAGGTCCTCAGGCTACTTTCTGGATGTTATTTTTTAAATATGGGACATGCAGGTGCCTTTCCAAAGAGGCTTGGACTGGTATATGAAACCATAAACAAATAAGCTAATGAAAGTATGAACTCAAGAAGAAGGATGTTGGCAGTCTGTGTAACAGCTGGAAAACTTATAAGTGCCCACCTTTGGGACAAGCGAGTGAAAATGAACTTTTGATAACTGCTATTTAAAAGAAATGTTCTCACCTTGGGTTGATTGTGGTGTACAGTATGTTATGAAACTTGTTGAGCTAAAGCTTTGACTTGAGTCAAGTATGAATCACTTGCTTTGGTTCCTGTGTATTTTACGACCCCCCGTCAGTGACTTTCCATCCCTCTTCCCCTAGTGTGAATTTGTAGCATGATTGTACAAACCTCTATTTAGAAAACGGAGATTTCCTGTTCTCTGAAATGTTGAGCTCTAGTTAATCAATCCCTGTCCCTTTAGCCTAGCGTGTCCGAACTTACTTTCTTGTTATATATTTAAACTTTTCCTCTATACTATGGATTTTGTGGCATCCTATGGTCAGGTGGAGAGGAAGCTGCCCCTTTGCAGAACTGTACTGTAACTATTTTTCTTTTTAAGATATTATTTTCACAGGACTGATTGTACACAGGGCTTATAATAAAATTTTAACACTGTGCTGTGAAACCACAATGGTAAATCCCCATTGAAGGCTATTTCAAAGGCACCTGAATGTGGAATGTTATGTCTATGACTTTATTTCTTGCTTCCTGAGTATATTAAACCTAACTTCGCCCTTTCGTTCTGTTTCAGCCTCCTGTATAAGACCGTATTTTCTGCCCATCATACTTTGTAATAAAACTTGAACATGTATAGACTGACTGAATTTCTTGTGATGAATTCAGTTCTTCCCATTCTGCCACTGTGGTCATGTTCCAGAGACACTGGCTGGGGGATTAGACTCCACCCCAGCTCATGGCTATCTGACAGCCTGACTTACCACCTTTAACAAAACACAGAGCACCTACTCTATGCCAGGGGCCATGACCTTCAAGTTGCTCACAGTCTACCAGAGGAGATACCACAAAAACAAATACTGTCAGTTTTGTGCAATAACAGGTGTGTTCAGGCCTACTAGTAGCCCTGAGGAGTTGGTAATCACCTATGACCGAGTGGGAGCCAGAGAGGGTCAGGGGAAACTTCACAAGACAGATGCTTGAACTGGGTTTTGAAGGCTGAGTAGGAATTTTCTGGGAATAGAGAAAGCATTTAAGGCAGAGAAAACATCCAGTTACCAATGTATAAACGCAAGAACAAATGGGGTCATAGTCAGAAAATTACAAGTTGATGTGGGGTTTTTATATGGAGACTGGTGGGAAATGTGGCTAGAGAGGTAAGCAGGAGCCAGATCAGAATCTTTTGTGCTTTGCAGAAAGGTTAGACCTTACAGAGAGGAAAGTCATGCCCAGAATTGCATTTTAGGAAGCAATGAAGAAAGTACCTCTGAGTGGGGAGTGAGACAGGGAGTCAGTTTACCTGTTACGATAGTCAAAGTGAGAAAAAAATAAAAGCCTGAACTAAGGATAATAGGTCACAATTTAAAAGGTTTAAGAGACAGGATAATCAGGAGTCAGTAATCTATTGGAAGGATGACTAAGAAATGATAACTCCCAAGTCCTGTGGGTTTGGGCACCAGGCTCTAATGTGATAACTAGAGTTTCCAAGTCCAAGCGTTTGCCCAGTATGGTAGGATGGAGAAGCCGTTCCTATCCCGACTGCTGTTCAAATGCTGTGAGTCCTGTACGAAGACTCCCGCCATCTAGCCATTTATTTTTATGGTCATTCTTTGTTCATGTTGGGCCATTTCAAGGGAAGAAAGAAAAGCAAATTGTGATTGGTTCAGTGAACCAGAATTTAATAAGTGCCTGCCATTCTGTCCAAAGAACGGAGCTGGGGGTGGCAGTGGGTCTGTGAAGGGAAGTATATACTCCGAGAGTTTAAGTTTTATGTGGCAAAATGAACATCTGGCGGCTCTGACAGAACTGTGCTATATGGTCTGACAATGTATAATTCATGGGTAATACATGATTCCTGCTTTTTTTTTTAAGGGGAAAGCTGGGAGAGCAATACTGACTATAATCATGTCAACAGACTTGGCTATGCTGAAGTAAAAAAAAAACAAACCCTCAGTCTGGCCAGTGTGGCCCAGTTGGTTGAGCATCACCCAGTGTGCCAAGAGGTTGCTGGTACCCCCCACCAGGAATTGAGCCAGCAACTCAGGCACGTGCCCTTGACCAGGAATCGAAACAGTAACCTTTAGGTGCACTGGAAGATACCCAATCAACTGAGCCACACTGGCCAGAGGGCCATGAATGCTCATAATAGCATTAGTCATGATAGTCAAAAAGTAGAAACAACCCAGATATCCATCAACTGATGAAAAAAATAAAATGTGGTATATTCATACACTGGAATATTATTTTATAATAAAAAGGAATGAAGTACTGATACATGCTACAACATGTATGAACCCAGAAAAAAGTATGCTAAGTGAAGGAAGCCAATCATAAAGGACCACATATTTCATAATTCCATTCATATGACATGTCCAGAATAGGCAAACCCATAGAGAGAAATAAATTGGTGATTGCCTAGGACTTGGGGAATTGGGGGATATGGGGAATGATTGCTAATGAGTACAGAATTTCTTTTGCAGGTGAATAAAATGTAAAATTGTGGTGTGAATATACTCAAAACCGTTGTACACTTTTAAATTGGCAACTTGTATATGTGAATTATATGTTAAAGTTGTTATTTAAAAAACAAGAACTGTTCTAGGCACAGGAATATAGTCCTGCTCTCAAATAATTTAATATTGTAGCAGAGACAGACTTAAACATTTTGATATAAAAAAGGTAAGACATATATGGTTATGTGAGCACAAAGAATAGGGCATCTGAGCCCAACTGGAGAATTTGGAGATGTTTTCCTCTGGTGGGAAGTAATGCCTGAGCTGAATTTTGAAGGAAGAACAAAAATTAGCCAGGTGAAGTGAGGTGGAACACAGATTAGCAAAGACACAGGTTTTTGCTCGACAGAGGAATTGGGAGAAGTACTAGAAGCAATCTGATGTTTCTGTCATGTACAAGGAAGAGAGTGCAGAACTCAAGTAGCTTGGATAATAAACATTAATAAAAGAATGATTCATAAGTGAACTGTGAGTTACAGCCTAAAATTCAAAATGGACTATACTGAGGAGGTGACAGCTGAACTTGGGTCTTGAAGCAAAGATCTTAACAGTGAGACAGAGAAGCAGAGGCGATAAAGAACTTGTATTCAGATTACGGTAATTCCCTCCAACCAGAGTATAATGTCAGGACATGGGAACAAAAAATGAGTAGATCTGAGATTATGGAGGTTCTTTTTTAAATTTTTTATTGTTGACACTATTACCCATGTATTTTGCACTTGTTATCCCATTTAGTCCTCACAAGGCCTTTCTACAGGCAAGGAAACTGAAATCTAGGTAAATAAAGGAACTTGCACGTTACACTAGTAAGTGTAACAACTGGGGTTGTTACACCCAGTCTAACTCCAGAGGCCACAAGCTTAAACTTCACACTGTCCTGCTCTTTAACAGACAGAATCCTTTGGATTTAATTTCAACAGTATGGGGAGCCACTAGAAAGTTTGTCAGCAGTTGTTGCTTTGTTTCTTCTCTGTCTTCTAAACGCCCCCGTTTTCTCTTTGGGAGAGCGGAAGGAAAATGGAGAGGGAATTTAGCTCCAGAAGGCTCTGCGGATCATGCTCCCTCTCCAGAAGGGCCAGTGCCTCATCTGAATCTCAAACCATCTCGTGTGTTCAGGGGCTTCAGCATTATGATCTCTCCGCCGTTTACATAAGACTATTATTTTAAAGCTCCAGGCCTTATTTTATGTTTTTAACCTTCCTATGGTGGTAAAGCAAGTACTAGCAGTTTCCTTATTTACAAACAGCGAAAAGGAAGTTCAGAGCGACTAAATCATTTGGCAAATCACATCTCTGAGCGGCGATTTCTTTTCCTGTAAAAGGAGTTCGCTGAAGTACCTATTTTCTTTGCAACAACAAACTATCATTCTGGATCTGCTCAGAGTTGGCAAGCAATTCAGAAGCAAAGTGAGTTTACTAACTCAGATGTATCTCTGCCGGACCACTGTGGGAAACAAGGTCCTGCGCTCCCGCGGCAACCGGGCGGGACGGAGCGCGGGATCGCCCCGGCCGGCCGGGCTTTGCGCCGGGGCACCCGAGAGCGAGTGCGTGCAGCTGCGGAACGGATTTTGAGAGCGGCGGGGACGCGTTTCTTGAGCGGACCGGGGAAAGGAAGTGTGCCACACCGTCGAGAGGACTCGCTCCCGGCCGCTGCGGGCACGGCGCAGGGTCCGCGGGATTTGGGCTGCTCCCGGCGGGCCTAAGCCTTTGAGTCACCGGTGACAGGTGGAGGCGACAGCAGGCTCCAGACCTGCTTGTTCCGGCGGGTGGACTGGACGGGCTGACTTTGGCCGCTGCCCTTTCTCTGCTCTTGCTGACCTTGGCCCAGGGTCGGAGCCGATGGCGGCTTGGGCCGTTGTCAGCCTGAGCAGGACCCCTGCACCGTGCTTGCTGGCTCTAGGTCCTGCAGCCCGGGCGGCTCTTCCGTGCGCCTCCTCTGGCTCCCAGCCTCACCTCCCGGGCTGTAGCCCTGTTCTGGGCCGGACGCTGCATCTCACCAGGGTATCGCCCGCCGGGCACAACAAGTGGTCCAAAGTCCGACATATCAAGGGTCCAAAGGACACTGAAAGGAGTCGCATCTTCTCCAAGCTTGCTTTGAGCATCCGCTTAGCGGTTAAAGGTGAGACCGACAGTCACCCACAGCTGGCCCTGCTGCCCTCTCTGTGCCCAAGGCCTCGTTTGCCTCTGGGAACTGGGCCAGGGCCTATCCCCATCCTCAGCCCTTCATTTTCGTAAGCACAGAGTGAATTAAAAGCTTCTTTTCTAAAATATTTCTCCTCCATATTCCATACAAACACTGTATAAAGTGTTCTAAACTTACCGAGAACAAAGGGATGACTTGCCACTCTTGGTTAATGAGGAGGTGTGGGTCTGGAAATAATGAAATGAGATGACTTCGCTCATTCTTTTCTATCTCAGAAGGAGGCCCCAACCCTGAGCTCAACAGCCACCTGGCCCATATCTTAGAGGTGTGTCGCAACAAGCACATGCCCAAATCAACGATTGAGGCATCGCTGAAAATGGAGGTGTGTCCTCAATTTGATATTCTTATTGATCAGAGCCTGGGCAGAATCCATGTCTAGAACGCCACTAAACACTCCTTAAATTATCAGAGAAGGGTAGCAATGTGGTTGACACCTTTGATCCAGAGCCTTTTGGTGGCTTTCTCCTTGCCCATTGGTTATGGGAGCACAATCAGGAATAGGATAGATATACAATGTTCAGAACCATAGAGCCTAGGACTGCTCAGCTGAGTTGTGAGATGAGGTAGAAAGAACAAGCACCCTGTGGGGAAATCCCTGATGTTAGATTGAGGGTTTGTTTTTATGATATTTATGCCCAAAGAAGAAAAGCCAGTCGAGAGAGGGTTCAGATGATAGTGATAGAGCCCAGGTAAGGGGACACCTCTTCCTCTGGGACAGGTGGGAAGGATCTGAGGAAGTAATAATCATCTTAATAGCTAGTAGTTGAGTGCTTACTAGAGAACAAGCACTTTGATAAGAAATCTGAAAGCACTATCTCACTGAATCCTCAGAACAACCTTAAGTGGAAACGGGGACACAGAAAGAATAGACGACTTGATCAAGTCACACAGAAAATGACAACCAAAACAGACAGACTCCAGAGCCTATGTTCTATTACACTTACTGCCTTCACATTGGCTGTGGTGTAGATAAGGTGGTAGAGTCGGGATTTGCCCTCACCTGGTGGTTCTTATATCCTTTGTGAAAGAGGAAGGGAGAAGTTATCAGTTGAGAGTTCCTGGGAGGCAGCAGGCAGGGTGCTGGGAGAAAGTGGTAAAGATCAGGTGCATGGGCAAGGTGGCATGGGAGATACAGATGAGATTATTATGATTTTTGATTGTTTGAATTTTCGAGGCCATGCTATTTTCAGTGGCTTTTGTGAAAAGGTGTAGGTATGCAACTTTGTGTAGCAGTACTCAGCAGCCCAGAGGTAGGAGCACAGGTGGATTTCATAAGGGATGGTGGCAGGTAGGTGTGCAATTTGGCTGGGTGTGGAATTTGGCTGGGGAGGGGAGGAAACAAGGCTGGGAGATGACTAATTGATTGTTCAGGGACTAGAGAAACAAAAATAAACACTTGAGATCTTAGGCTCCAGCCCAAAGAGCCCATCCATGGAGTCGCCTGTACCTGTACGGTGGTGGTACCTGTGGTTCTGGGCTAGTATCTGGGGGTAGGGGTGGGGGGGAGATTGGGAAACAGGAAAACATGCTTATGTTGTTTTTGCAGAAAACCAAGGACATTTATTTGTTGTATGAGGGTCGAGGCCCTGGTGGCTCTTCTCTGCTCATTGAGGCATTATCTAGCAGTGGCTCCAAGTGCCATTCGGACATCAAACATATCCTCAACAAGAATGGGTAGGTGTATGGGGAAAGTGGAAGAGCCTTTAGGTTCTAATTCTGGGTAAGGAAAGTACTGTCCTTTCTGGTGATGGTTCAGATTTTACACATACTTCATCCGCAGCAGAATCTAAATGGGATAATTTACTCTCCCTTAATGTGTTCTAAACTAGATAGGATCCAAAGGACTTGTGCATAAGTGTAGAAGGGGCTCTTTGTCCCATTATCCCATCTGTAGCCTTATGATGTCCATGTCTTAAAATGTACCACCAGGACTGGAATCTAAATGGCATAGGAATTGCTGAGCAAAGTTTTTGCACCCTCCAAACTTAAATCAGGGCAGATAATGGGGGGGG